CCAAAGCTTTCATGATCACTAGCAACCTTCCTTTATGATAAATAGATCAGAATCATCGGCTGTGGGAAAATTCCAGTCATTTTGGAAGTTTGGGGAACGCGGCCCTGCCAGGAAGAAGTCAATATCCTGGCACAGCTCTGAAGCTGCACGTGACATGGAGGCGCAGGCTCGGCAGCTGTGCCAAGCCAGCACAGTCCTTATAGGAGCAGTCCCTGTGGTGCCACTGGTGCTGGAAGCCAAGAGGTCAGGTCTGCTATTTATCATGTCGATATTTCCCTGTTTGAGTAGGGCCATTGGATTGAGCTGAAAGGAGCTGAACGTTGACTTTAGCTCACCTGTGGAGATAGGTGGACTTTGTGCTGGCTTACAAAACATCTGCAAGGACCATCAGGAACCAAAACCAGCCCCCAGTGGGGTAATTTCTTTGGTTGTAAAAGAGAAGTCAGACAGCAGAGCACATTCCAGCCCTGCTTGCTTTGCAGCTCTAATGATACCCTTTGGATTTTGGTCACCATTTAAATGCTACGGTTGCATTCCTTTGACTTGTGGTCCAGCAGAAGGCTTGGTGTGCTGTTATGAGCTTTGTGGTGAGGTCAGAGCTCAGAGGACAGAGAGGGGCTAGCAGGGCTGATGTGAGCCCTGGCAGACAGGCAAGGTGGACAAGGACAGTTCTTTGTCCTTAGTTGCCCTCACTGTTCTAATTCTGCTCTGCTAATAAGCTCAAGGTCAGCTTAAGATGCCTCACGACAATGGGCGCGTATGTCAGTTACAGCTGAAAGGCCTTTGCTCTTTCTGCACGGAAATGATTTGTCCATTGCTTTCAATCACCTCCCCATTTGTCAGGCTGTCTGCTGAATGCCAGTTGACAAAAATGATAAGGAGTGAGGCACAAATTAAACTTTCCGTTGAACGGATCGCAGTGTGGTGAGAATGGCAAATAATGTTTCAGTGGGAATTGCAGCAGTGCCCAACGGTCCTGTGAGTGGCTGACGAGTGCTTTTAGGCAGGCTAAGTGTCGGGAGAACCTGTAAGCCAGACGGACCGCAGGAAGCCTAAACACCCTTCTACATCTAGGAGCTGTAAGGAATAAGACTCAGTAACATGGTTTGTTGTGATAGGAAAAGGGGAAATGGCTTCAAATGAAAAGAGAAGTGATTTAGATTAGACATAAGGAAGAAGTTTTTTTTTACAGTAAAGGCAGTGAGGCACCGGGATGGGTCCAAAACTCTGCTACTGCAGCATGTGTGCTGCCATACCATTACTCTGCCCTCCGCATTTGTTTATAGACAAGCCTTGGAGAAACACGTTTGTGAGAGCCTTTCTGAAATTGGGTGTATCTATAAAACATTTCAATAGAATTTTTAATGTTGTCCCGATATTTCCCGATATTTAGGAGTTGGTGACAGAGACATAACGGAAAGGAAATTGCTTCTTAATCTCTCTTCCCCTTTCTGTGTGTGATTCAGCTTCGTGTTCCAGAGTAGCCCGATACAACAAGTTTTTGCTTCTTACAGAGGGATTTCTAGTCACACAGGCAGAAATGATAATGGGTTTGAGAAAAGAAAATTTAAAAACAACATTTTCTTTGCTGTTCCCCCTTCTTTTCATGGGCCAGGATCAATAGCAGTGAACTTTGGTCTCACAGAGCTTGAAGGCATCACTGAAAGTTGTGGCTTTTTTTGTGGTAAGACATTTAAAACAAACGCCACCACCTCAGCCTGAAAAGAGAAACAAAACCAAAAGCAAGCAAGCAACCAAACAAACAAAGCACCTCCAATCCAAGCCTGTTCCAGCTTGAACAACTGGCACCAATGGAGATCAAAGGACATGACGTTAAAATGGGAAATGAAGGAAGCAGAACATAGGGGAGAAGAGGTGACAGCCAACCAAGGTTGGAGATGGCTGCAGTATTCAAAGCCCAGACGTTTTGTTTTCAGGTGAATTGTAGATTTTTGTAGGGATGTGAAAGGTGCAATGCTGCTGGAATGAATAAATCTAGACCCATGCACAGAGACTCTGGCTTTGTGCTGTCCATGATGACAGTAGCACACAGTCACAGAAGAGGCAGTGCAGTATGGTTCCTCTGTTTTACATAAGACCACTGCTCAACTCAACAGATCTGAGTAACAACTGAAGTCAATTAAATTAACCAGAAAAACAGCTACACCCATTTCAGCCATGTGGACATGTGCAATTGCAAGCAATTACTGTGATTAACCTTCTCACGGTCATATAAATTCAGCACCTGCCCAATAAGGCACATGTGTGTCTGTGCTGAGGGTTTTGCTCCAGGCAAGAGATGTGCTCTGTGTGAGAAACCTTTTTATTTGCTTTTTTCCCAGTCATTTCTCAGAAGCCTTAAATTTCTCCCTAGCCTTCCTTATCTTTTTTGGCTTGACCTGAGCTGTGTTTGCCATTGACATGTTTGTTGTTAGCGGGTGGGAGAGCACTGCTACAGAATCACACCATCATTAAGTCAAAAGTCACCATTCACATCAGTGGAACTTTCCTGTCTTTGCAATCAAGCAGCCCCTGCAGGAGTCAGAAGAAGTCCATTCACAGTGACTGAAGGCAAATAGTTGGATAATATTGATGTTATGGTTCAATTTTATGTTGCTCTGTACACACAGTGCTTGTTACCGTAAGGACCGATGTGTCAGATCGATAATCAGCAGCCTTGCACCAATATGTTTCAGGAAACAAGCTTAGCTTTCCATACACATGGCACTGTTGTCATTTTACATTATATTTATAAGGAAAAGAGAAGTACATAGTAAATACATAGAAGCTATTCTTCAGTATCTTTGGATAGCTGGACTATATCACTAAGATTTTCCTATAAACCCCCATAGAAGTGGGTGTCTGCTGTTTTTGTTCAGGATTACAGCAGACTGTTTTTAGATTAAACTTTACATATGACTCACGTTCTCAGCTTGAGCACACTGCGGTTGCCAACAGGAATGAAGTGAATTTAGACAATTTGTGAATCAGTCCATAAGCCACGTAGGGAAGATTCAGATGTAGAAATGATCAGTCACCTGCACTGCAATCTCAGTGGTGTATTCAGGTTCAGTAAATTTCTCACTCCGAAATAGGGAAAAAAAAAACCAACAGAGGTTATCCTCTTATTGGTGTAATTGTTCTCATGTTGTTTCTGGTCAGTATTTGTCCACACCCATCTTAAATTTGTCAGTAAGTGGAATGTGAGAATATTAACTTCTGTACAAAATGGGAAATTTTGTAATGATCTTCTCTTCCCTGTGCCATTCATCTGTGTGCTAAGGGTTCCACCTCAGCAAGATCGCAAACTCTACGCTCTGAAAGACTTCCTCCTCTCCTTCTTCTCTTCTCCTCCTTTCCGTTAGAGGAAGGTTATTATTTACTCAAAGTTGTGCAGTATGTTGCTGGTCTCTCTTGCTGGAACACCCCAGGGCTCAGGTTCTGGCTGAGATGATGAGCATCCAGCTAAATTAGGGGATTTTGCCCATGCTAGGGGATTACGGTGCGTCTGAAAACATGCACTTGCAATGGAAAAGGACTTCAGATTGCTAAACAAATGATACATCTCACATTGTCTTTCCAAAAAAGAGAAACAACCTCTTCTCAAGCCCCAGTATGAGAAACTTCCAGGATGGTGAAATAGTTGTGTAGAGTTTCTTGCCACCACTATATGATGTAAAGGAAAATTGTGTGGTGACAAACATCTCTGTCCTATGGCAGTGTTAGATATACCATGGGTGGATTATTCACTTTCCAGCTTGCCTTTGAGTTCTGGCATTTTGCATTTTCCCCTTTATACTTCTCATAATAAAGCTTTCAAGCAGATGATGGTTCTCTGTCCAGAGTTATACGCTGTTTTCTGAGATATCTGGAACTGAGCCTTTACAGAATAATCAAAAAGAGATTTTTTTTAAGCAATATTGCTAATGGATGAAGGCTTCTTTTTATATCTTGCCAATTACAAATCTCTCTATTCTTAGGCCATTAAGCAGTTTAAAATAGAGTTGAATAGGGCACTGAGTAAAATCAGGAAGTGTTTTTGTATGGCTGTCATACATGGCTTGGGTGTAGGCATCTTAATCCAGGACATGAGCTCAGAATGACCTGGCCCTTGTTCCCCTTAGAGCTATGTTGTGTTGGGATGCTTGGGGGTTCTGGGAACAGTTGTACCAAGAAGGCAAGTAATATATCAATTTGCAACATTTCATTTTTGTTTAAGGGCTTCCATTTGTATTAAGGGAATGTGTTTATTTTAGGATCAAATAGAAGTCCTAGTAATGAGGCAAGGTAGGGTCATTTTCCCTTTTGAGTTCTATGACTTCTCATAGAATGCTTTCTGTGCAGAATTAGTTTACCTATGAAGCAATTAATGTGTACTCTGAACAACTGTGTTGATAGAAAGTAGCAGATAACCACAGACTGTCCTTCCCTGACTTTGTGTTGTAAGATCTGGGTCAGCCTATATGATTCCTACTCATCGTCTCTGTCTGCTGTGTGCTGCTGCCAGTGCATCTCAGGTGAATTTATCTGCAAGGACAGGCTTCCAGTTCCATTACATGTTGTTGTGTGGAAGCCTCTGGGCTGACCTAAAGCCCACTGATTCTGATTCTGACCACATTGCCCATTAAAGAAGCCACTGGCAAGCTGCCTATTGCACTGCTGGGAGAGCCATTAATGGGCAGCAAAACTGAGTTTTGACAAATTGCAGGAAGCTTTTACGGAAGTTTCTGTATCCATGTTTATCTCACCTGCCTTCTTGAAGTGCCTGGAGACTGAGTTTGAACATTTGTGCCAATCTTTTTACATGGAAAAGACTTCTTTTGGTGGTGATTCCCAAGACAAAGGTAAACACTGCCATTGTTCTGAGCTTTGTGAAGGCCATGAAGACATCCCTCTGCTGTCAGTGCCATAAAAGCCATTTCAGCCCTTGCAGTGGAAAAGGACTTTCCACTGAGACATTGCCACGACTCTGGATATGACTGAAGAAAACACAGAATGTATTTTTACGGTCAACAAATAGTTATGATTTTAATGAGCAATAGAATACACTGGAAAAAATATTTTGAGATTGTTGTTTTTGTTTTGTTTTTTGAAAAACTAAATAAACAGGAGCTGTCCTATAAGGAATGTAGATCTGATGTTTTAACAATTCATAGGGAACACCTGAAATGTTAGGTTAGAAAGTCTTTCTTAGGAAAGCATCTGCTAGAAGATGCCGTGGCTGGAAGATGGCTGCTTTTAACCTGCCTTGTGAGGTTTGGTTTCTTCTCACTTTGTGGGTATCTGAGCAAAACAAGTGTCCCAATCAGCTGCTGGCCAATCAGAGACTAGCAATTACTGGGGGAATGTGAGCACCTGGTTTCAAGGTGCCTTTTCTTCCCTGTCCACAGCATTGGTGTTTGTCTTCCCACTCTGCCTACTCCCTTCCCATGTTTCTCCCAGCTCTATGTTACTCCTCCTAAAACACGTGCCCATCTCCCTCTTGTCCAGAGTTAATGCCTTTCTCTTCCAAGCATCTCTGAACATGCTGCTTCTCCAACCTTAGTGGCAAACCCTGCTAGCATGACTGAAGAGAAGCAAGCCAGCCCTCTGCCGCCTGTTCTTCCATCGTCTGACTGAAACAAATGCTGTTTCCAACTCACGGCCTCTGTACGTTGCCAAGTGTTCGTGTGGCTAATGATGTGGTTTAGGTGAGTTTATTTGCAAGCCCTGGCAGCCTTCAGGCATGTTTGGGAGGTTTTGATGTGTATTTGCAATGCGGATTGCCTTTGTCAAGAGAAAAAATGTATGAGTTTTCACCTCCTTCTGTTTCAGAGAAATTAATTTGCTTTAGTCCTCAGAATGCTGGAGCAAAACTGTGCGTAGATGTCAACGTTTATATCATTTTGATGGCTAGCTGGAACCTGCAAAGGGAAGCTTCTGGCTCTGGGAACAGAGCTCAGCAAGGTCATGTGAACTTTGCATCCTTTGGTGGGCTAACTTTGCAATTTTACTGAAACTTCTGGAGTACAGATGTCACTTCTGTGCTACTGACCACTTAAAAAGATAGATTTCTCCAGATTTTCAGGGCTCTTTGCCAGGGGTGTGTTTGATTGAGCTAACGGGTGGAGAACTCAAACATTAAGGTGCATGTGAAATACTGTGTGTCCCATGATGGTGGGCTGGGATTTTTTGGAGGGAGAGAAAGAAGCTACATGAGTAAGGCTGTCAGTGGGGCTTTGTCAGAAAGAAGTAACCAGCTTCTTGCATTTTCACAAGACAAACTTTCTGAACATAAAAGTACAATTATTACACTGCACTACAAGGGGTTGGTGACCAGTTCTTTGCAAAAAAAAAAAAAAAAAAAGAGACCTTTATATCTTGCAGCAGCAAGAACAGTGCATGATGCCTGGAAGTCACTTCTTACGATGGCATTACACAGGTTTTATTTCTGGATTCAAGCAGCTGCACAATTTGTATAAAAACAGGAGTTTTCAAGGTTCTGAAAGAGGAAGTAGTTGGAAAACAGCTAATATCAAGATCTCTCCTGTCCCCGCTTTCTTCTATTTGGTATCTTGTGCTAAGGTCTTGGGAAAAAAATGCCCATTCGAGGAGTCAAAACTAGATGGACATATTAAGGCATTCTTAGCAGTGTTGGTCAGAATTCTGGACTAGCTCATTACTACTTGTCTGAGAAGTTACAGCATCCAGAAGGACATCACTGCTTGTGCTATTAGAAATCAACTATAAGAACTGCTCACGTTCTGTTCAAGCATCAGATAACCTGGAGTAGCTTTTAATCCTAACAATTCATTGTGACATTCAGGTGAGGGTTGAGCAAGAACACAAAAATAAGCCCTTCATAAATCTGAAGTATTAGTAGCTAGGTTAAGTTACAGTCCTACCTATGAATTTCCTGTCAGTAAACATAGAAATCTCATCCAATTTTCCAAAGTGGGAGGTGACAATACATTTTTTTGGAAGGGCATAGCCACAGCTCTGGAGTTGTCTCTGCATGCAGAACCTTGCTGATTTGGTGGGGCTTTACTGGCATTGAAGGTTCTAAAGTGAGGATCCAATTTCAATGTTGGGCAACGCAATGATACGTGCAAAGTCATTGCTTAATAACTAGAGCATCCCTTTTGTACTAGGAAACGTGTTTGGAGCTGAGATAAGCTGTTGGAACCAAGCGCTGCTGTTGATACTATGGCTCTTCTTTGTAGAGAATGTCTCTTCCACTGTATTACAGCTGAATCCAGAGGCCTTGATCTACCTGGAGTGGGCTTGGGATTGTGTTGCACGTATGTGAAGTAACTGGAAGCCGTTCAATTATATTCTCTGGTTAAGCTATTCATGGGTTTAGGCTATTATACACCGGACAGGGAATAGAGTTATAAGGAAGTTGTAAGACGTTTTTATGGTAGGTTTCACATCACCGGCACAGCCTGGTCAGTTCTGCCTTCAGCCACCTCCCCGTAGGGCCTGGGGTCAGGCCAAGCGGTTGGGGAGCTCCTTCTCCTCCAGAAGGAACCCATGTTCTTTGCTGATTGGTTTCAGCAGCAGGGCACGCAGCCCGGGCCTCTGACAAGAGAAACAGCCCTGGTTTCTGCTGGGCATGAGCAGACAGGCAGAAGTGGGTGTTGCCGAAGCTCTGCTCAGGTGAAAAAAACCATTTGTGGTTACACAGGATTGATTGGCAATTAGTATGCTTTACTTATGGGCAGGACTGAAAGCCACAGCGTACGGCTGCTGGGCCCCGTGGGGTGAGGCTCCTGCAGCAGAGCTGGCACAGGTGTCCTAGGATTGTCCTTGGGCTTGCTGAAGTCTAACAAATTGTGTGTGAATCTGCAGCTTGTGTGCTTTAGGCAGAGTGAGAATGAGTGAATAGAGAGGAGGTGGTGGAGGCAGATGCTGAATGTCTCCTTTTTAGACACTTCTCTCTGTTCTCTCCCACCCTTCCTTTTGTGCGTTGGATCTTGTCCTCTGAAGGCCACGCCAAGCACATTTTACGCCTGTCTGGATTTAACAGGTTGCCTGAGCTCACACCAGTAGCAGTTCACAAGACAGGAAACTCCTCTCAAATTGTGCACGTAGAAATAGACCGAATTCTGATAGTAAAAGACACATATGTGATCTCCCCCCTCACCCCCATCCCTCCCTGTGACTCGCACCTTCCCATTAAGACTCATATTCACTTGTGGAGGTAAGCATCCAGCCATAAATCTCCAGATTTCTTTAGTGACCTGGGGAAAGAAAATGGAGAGAGGCTTGTTTGGCTTGTGAACCTCTGTCACTTTGTTCCTAGAAAGGAGAACTCTGTTACTGAGTCTGAACATGAACCCCACAAAATGTCCTCCCTCCAGAGGAGCTGCCTATTCTGCTCTTTGGGCCCCCAGATTGACCAGTTTCAAAGTACTTTGATAGAAGTGCTCTTGTTGCAGAAGCAGCTTTGGCAGATAGCACTTCCCCACCCCACCTCCCCTCCCTACCACAATGTAGTGAAGTATCTTCCCATTTCCATGCTAGCTGTAATCTGGCATCAGTCCACTACATCAGTGGGGCTGTGTGGCCGTGCCATTTCTGCATATCTTCAGGTATTCCTTGCGCTGTGATGTGAAGGTATTACCCTAGTGATACCAGACTACAAAATACTGATACGCTATTTCTCAAAGTGGTCTGAATTATCTGTAGTAGAAATGATAGGATGCTTGTGTAAATTGCAAGCTGCTGATGTTACTAAAAGAACCTTACCCAACTATGTCTACAAATGCTTTTCCAAGAGGTTTCTCTTCATACTGGACTCCATACTTGGCACATAACGACTTCACCAGGGGTTTGATTTTCCAGAAGTTGTGCCGTGGCATTGTTGGGAACAGGCTTGAATAGAGAAAGAGAAAACATCTGAGAAAAATCTAGAGAATAACCCCAAGGGATGGGCATCTCCATCCGCCTTCTCATGGGGCCAATTATTAATGCCTTCTTGAGCTGCACCAATCGACAAAAGAAAGAGAGGTAGAGATCCATGCTTTACAGTACTCTGTTTCAAGAAGGCTTGTGAAAACAGAGTACATCTATTCTCCTGCTGCTCTATCAGTCCTCAGAACAAAGCTGTGTTCAAGAGAGACAATAAAAGTCAGTTTATGAAGGAAAGGATGCTACGAGTGCAATGCAAAGCAAATAAGAAGAGAGGAAGCAGCCTCGCTCTGCTGAGATAGCTGCCCATTTGCTTTGGGCAGTACTAATTGTTTCTTGCCAAACTGAATTATCAGTGGCCCCATTTTCCATCTCATGGAACACAGAAGCAGGTAAAGAACCTGGGGTCACCTTGCCCAATACTTTTCAATGGAGATTTCCTAAGCTGACTTCCAAACCAGTCAGCTTTACCCTAAATGTGGTCTCTATTACCTTTTGCACTGACAACAGACTGCCCTGGTTTTAGTACCACTCCTGAAACCTCAGCACTATGTACAGTCCCACATTTCCAGCCATAAAATGCTGATGCCCTTTTATTTAGGGAAAGGACATTTCTGAAATGTATTCTAAGATAACTTCTTGAGCTTTAGTATCCAAATCCATAGCCTTTGTATCTTGTAGTTTTGTACCAATGACTTAACTGAAACCTGAATTAAAATTGTGAGAGTGAAAGCTGAAATACTGGGTAGCACGAGAGAAAGATGCCGTGCCTATAGTGACAGCAACCCCCAGTTGTTTGGGTCTGTCTTTGCTTGGAATGTGGTAGTGCTCTGAAGGGGAAGTGGAAGGTTTGACTAGAGAAGGTGTCAGACAATCTTGTGTAAGCCCTGCTTTTACCGTGAAAGTTTGGACCAGATCATTTTTTGAGATCCCTTCCAACCTGGGCTTCTCTATGAATCTGTCCCATCTCACACATATGTTTTTAGCAGACTATCCCTTGCCACAAGTCCAGTGTTATGACAACCTGGTAATGACCAAACAATACTGGGTCCATACTCACTGGTGCTCAATTTGAAAGTTCAGGTGTCCAGTGAACCAGTCATTGAAAAAGGACTGCTCAATATTGCAGGTGGCTGCCAGCTGTGGAGGCAAGAAAGCAGCTGTGAATGTTAGTGACCCTAATAGCTATGAATTATTCACCCTAAAATCAGCACAAAGCTCTTCTTGCCTGTGGCAGAGACTGGAGGACAAAAAGTACCTTCCTCTACTATGAGCAGTCGTTATGTAGAAGGTTGCCATTCTGAGACAGCTGACTGCAGCATGGGAAGCTTTAATCCTTGGTCAGGGCTCGCTATCAGCTGTTGTGCTGACAACGCCGTGCAGGTTTGAACAGTGATCAAGGGGCAATGCAGGGAGATAGTCATGTTTGGTGACATACCAGCCCAAGGGCAGGATCCTAAATGTCAGCATATCTAGCTGGAGGCCAGATGGTTAACAACAGTATCAGGATGGGAAACTGGAGAAGAAAACACCATGCATGCAGGAAGCCTACTTTTACTCCCATCTAGTTGTTGTCTAGTATGCCTGAGCTTCTCTCAGCTCAGTTACACAAAATTCATGTAGTCAGTGCCAAAGTTGCTATCTTTGTTCTCTAGGTCTGAATGAGACTTGGGCCACCACAAATAAAAGGTGTGCATTTGTCTGACCAGGCATTAAAGAGATTTATATGTAGAAAGTGGTACATCTTCATTTCAGCCCTTATTCCATTAGAAAACTACACACTTTTGAAGTATGCTAAGCTCTTTCTTCAAATGGAGTTGATGTGTTTTCAGTACAGCAGATGATTTCATTGAGGCATTGCTCTTCGCTTGTATCTGTGTGCCTATGTACACCACGCGTGCACCTGATACTGCCTCAGAACTGAAAAAACAAAATACAACCTTCTGATTACCAAAATCAATACAGAAGTTTGGACTTCCATGCCTTGAATGAGCACCACTGACTTTGGAGAAAACAAATGGTGGGAATCGGATGATGGTTGGACTAGATGATCTTAGAGGTCTTTTCCAACCTTAATACTGTAATTCTATGACCTTTATGGCAGAGAGGTCATGGGCAGAGGCTCTGTGCTATAGCACCCTGTATCTTTATCAGCAGATTATTTGGTACTCCATCCACTCTTTGAGTAAATTTCTAATCCAGTTTGGGGTGAGTGGAATCAGAGGTATTCTCTTCCCTCCCCGTTACCTGAGAGCTAAGCCAGTCTTTGTGCTTCTCACAATCAATTTCCATTGGAATGTGATTCATCTGAGTGACCCACACAAACCAGTGGCTCTCCAGAAACCTTCAAAAACATACAGACAAAAAACACAACAATTTATATTGCAGACCAGGATCAGAGGTAAATAGATGGTGTTTGCAGGGAGCAGGACATAAAGCATCTTGGGGAAAAAAAATATTTCCCCAAGATACAAAACTAAATGCCTCTTCCTATTGAAACCAGAGAGAATCACTTTTGCAATGAATTTCTCTTTCTCTCTTTGTACCTCTGGGACTAATGCAATTATCCCTCTCCTTCCTCAGGATTGGATCAATTTTCCGTGCTAATTTTGCCTTTCTCTAAGTAAAGATGTAACATTGAGAAGGATCAATAGGAAAAATTTCCTCTCCAAAAAGTGGTGAGACATTAGCACAGGCTGCCCAGGGAGGTGATGGAGTCACATTCCTGGTGCTGTTCAGGAACCAAGGATACGTGGCACCGAGGGATGTGGTCATTGGGATGGGTTGGTGGTTGGACTTGGTGATCTTAGAGGTCTTTTTCAGCCTTGGTGATTCTATAATCCAATTACTTGAGAAAAAGAAGCCATGATTTAGAAATTCTGAGTTGATTTTTTTTGCAATTGCTTGCTGGACATATAGCAGTTTCAAAGTCCACCTGCTTATTGGTGTTAACTTTCTTGTCAGATTTAGCACTCGGGGGCTCCCAATTTCTCTTTGTTCTCTCTGTAACTTTACCATAATTCTGAATTCTGAACTTGAGATTGGCTTGTTTATTGCTCATTGTGTAAACCACAATTTTAGCCTCTGGAGAACAGCCTACAGAAATGCACTTCTGTTTACCCAAAGTTGTTTCACTGTGCTGAGACTGAGATGTATATAGCAAGGCAGTTGTTTAGAAGCACCCTTTTCCAGAAAACAAGCCTATAGACTAAAAAAAAAAGCCAGCAGATGATCTGATGCTCTGCTTTCACCAGTAGTTTCAGCAATCACTGTAATGTAACCAGCAGTAATTTCATCCAATCACAGCCTGGAGTAAGCTAATTAAACAGAGCTGTTTCAGAGCTGTTTGGAAGTCTGGATTTTGATAGTTTGTTTTTCCAGTATTTTCATCTGTCTGACAGAAGTCTGAATAAGACAGTTGATGTCATGTGTCAGCTAATTAGAACAATCTCAACTTTTTACTCATATCTGGGGTGAAAACAAAATGAAATGTTTTTATTTAACTTTATGCCTTACGTCTTTAGATTGAGAGTGGTGGCCTTCATTGCGTATCCTTATTGCTCTGAGCCATGGGAGAGCTGACTACAATGGTGCATTGTTCTCTAAAGTCCCCAGGGCTCTTCTTTTACTGACTCGAGTATAACAGAACTATAGTAATAGGGAACCATCTCCTGCTGAGCCTTCATGAGGAACTGGAAACAATTTTGCAAGGAGAATGCTCTTCACCTTGTATTTTCAGCTGATCAAAATAGAAAATTTTTGGAGATACTAGGTCAGTTGGTGTCAGTTGTTGAATCCAGATCAAAAATTTTGTCTACACACACAGCTGTCTGTCTTTTGAAGTTCTTAGTGAAAAAAAACAGGACTGAAGTGTTCTGAAGCTATGAAAACTGAAGTCATGAACAGTGACGTTATGCTTCCTGGAGGCAAACCTTCAGATTTTGCAAAGTTTTTTGCATATCTGTTGCCATTTCTTTTTGCTTTAAAAATGTAGGTTTTTTTAGAAAAAAAAATTTCACTCTGATGAAATGTTTTCTAAAAATAATGCTAACTGCCATCCTTTGGTATTAGCCAAAGAGCTGCAGATACTACATGCAAAATAGAAATACAAATTCAGTGCTACCATCTGGAATAGTATAACCAGTGAGTAAGCTTCCCAATCCTGCCCTGCCTGATTCATTTTGGCAGCCCATGCTTGCAGTTCATGTTTTCAGATCTCTTGCTGAATTTTCCACCCATCTGTCACACAGCAATAGTCAAGAGCAGTTCATCATGGAGCTTGGTGGCAATAAAGGGGCAGAAGACCAGTCAGAATCAAGACACACAAAAATAACCTGTCCATATGTGTGAGGAGAGCTCAAAGGTAGTTTTGGGGGGATCTACTGGAATGTAGGGATGGGAGCACTGATCTGAGGTGTGAAACGGATTTCTGAGGCACTGACCTCTACGTAGAAGCAATGATGTACATGTGTAGTGTGCAGGACATGAGCTGTTCTGCTTGTGAGAAGTGGGGAGCGTTTTCATTCTGGTGCTCAGGAGGGCTCACGAGGCACCTTTCAAGTGATCTGGGAAGAGTTTAGCTCAAGGCACTATGGAAGGGTCTGGCTTGGCCAGTGTGGAAAATTCCCAAGTGTTGGGATTTGTCAGTGTGTGAGAATGGGGTCTGAGGAAAGATACAAGAATCCTGGCTGAACCATCCCAAGGGCTGAGGAAGGTGCTCAGGAGCACCAGAATCAGCTCTGCTGTGAGGAGGTAGAACTGGGAGGTGATGGGAAGGAAGCAAAGCAGTAGGAATACCCAATAAAACAACACACAGCGTGGTAAATGACTGCACAGAACCATAATGAGGAAGACCTGTGGGCCATAGCAGAGCTGGAGATTGGTTAGCCCAACATGGGAGGTCCTATATCTCCTACCTGACAAAAGTGAGGAGAAACAGGGATCCCAGAATGCCATAGAATGGGATGTATGTGATGAAATAGCGCATGTAGTAGCTGATGGCCCAGGCCAGGTCCTAGGGGAAGAGAGAAAACATGAAGCATCTCTTAGCCTATTTTATGCAGTAAGGTTAGGGACACTAGATCATTAGTGCAGCAAAGTGTGATCCCTTCCCACCCTCCTTCTGCCAGGTCTCTTGTGCTGGAGAGACCACTGGCCTCTCTCCCTGCTCAAGTGTCAGAACCCATAAAGACTGAGGGAACACGTCACTCACCGCCCAGAACCTGCGCTTGATCATGGTTGAGATGATTTGGATTTGGAAATACACGGGGATGAGCAGAGGTGGGAAGACTGCAAAGCAAAGGGAAATGTTTCGGACGTCAGAGAGGCAGAAAAGCGCATGATATGAGAGTGAGCTGGTGATACAGGAACTGTTTCTGGGAAAGTCTGCCCAGCACTGGTAAAAGAAGTGATGTGCTGGGGACAGGGACAGGTGACTTCTCTGTGAAGGAGGCTCTGGTTCACACCTGTTCATCTTGACTCATCATATGCAGGTATTCCATTGAGCCTCCCACACAGAGGTTACTTCCCAGTCTCAACAACTTGTCTTGCTTTCTATAGTCATGCTGGCTGCACTAAATATGCTTGGATATCTGTGAGAATATACTGCACTGATTTTGAGACCTGCACAGGTACACCATTAATGGGACTGTAGGTCTTGGGACCGGAAAGATGAGTTGAGACTTATGCATTGCTCTGCTAACGCAGTAGGGCTAGAAACTGAACTGATATTCAGTTCCCCTGACCAAAGAGAAAGAGGAGAAACACACTGCAGATACTCACTGAGGAAGAAGTACTCATGCTGGTGGTTGTAAGGCAAGTACTTCAGCTTCTTCTTGCCGTACTGCAGGACAAAGATGAGAAAGCTCAGTCTTGTACAATAGCACCCATGTATTAGAGAGGATTATCTGCAATACTTCTCTATGGACTGGAGAGTTTTGACCAAATTCCCACGCCATCAAAGCTAGAAAGTATTTTATTATGGATAAATATCCTGACTTCATAATTCTCCTGTGTGTAAATTCCTTTTTAAAGCTTTTTTTCTGGTCTTTATGTACAGCTTCTTTGTATTTGTGAACCTGATGGCATTTTCACTCATTTCTGATCTTCCTACCTTGCCTATGGCTGTGCTTAAATTGCCATTTTTCCATTATCACCAACACAAATTCAAGACTTTGATAGTTGGACCAGATGATCTTGGTGGTCTTTTCCAGATTTTATGATTCTAAAGCATAGCAAAGTCTGATCACTGGTATGTTCTTAGGTAGGATACCATTGGCAGAGAAAGGTGCTGAACATTGGCTAGTCTTCCACCCAAATCACCCAACCACCAACTCTTTCTGACTTCTGCAGCCATCAGCCCCATAAGCCCTGCCATCTGCCTGGGGTTTGTAAAGTTGTACTGTATCCACAGAGGAAAAATTAGTGTGGCCCTTTGCTATTTACACAGGAAGTCATATAGGTGTATTTAAGTCTACAATGCCTGTGTTGCTAGTTTGATGTGATTAGAAGTAGTGTGCTGTTCTGAGAGCTGTTCTGTACCAACTGCTATCTAACTATGGTTCACCTACACACAGCAGATGCAGACATTCCTCTGAAGACAAATTTGATCAAATTCAGTCTGTTTAGTGAGGACTGACAGAAAAGGAATTAAATTTTTCCCTGTTTTTCCCGGTAAACAGTTGGAACTGCCCCATTAATCTCCACAAGAGGACATTTTGGATGGACAGCAAAGAGAGCTTCCTGGTGGTCTTGAGTGATGAGCATGGGACTGGCATGCCCAATGAATTTCCAGTGTGCCAGCTCTTGAGCCAGGCTGAAGTGCTGTTGGCAGAGCAGATCTCATCCTGGGAATAGAGAACCTTCCATTTTTCCTTTAAGTAAACCACAGTCTACTTTAAAACCCAATCTTCAAGCACATTTTCCAATGGGATGTACCAAGACAGTGAAGAGCTAGATCCTGATTTGTATTTTCTAGACACTGTCTTTTTTTTTATGCTCCAGGAGGAGGCTTTCATCTTAGTCACATGCAAAAGACATTTCTGCATCTTGAAAATACTATGGGTGCAATATATTCTCTATAAATATCCATCTACTGGCATGTATGTCCCCAACATATTTCTGGGGTTATTACTTTCTGAACAGGATAAAAGCTGGATGAGAGAGCATTGATTTTTCATTTGGTACTTCCCTGAGCTGTACTTGCTGCAGATCTTTTTGTTGTAGTTGTTGCTGCTGTTTTTAACTAGAAATATTTGTTCAATTGTTTAAAAAAAAAAAAAAAAAAAAAAAGACCAAATGTTTATTTTCTATGTGTAGGTTTTTATGAAATTCTAAGCATTTTGACTCTAGAAGGACAGATTGAATCAAAACACTTTAACTGCCTACTATTCAGTGTGCAGCATGTTGGCCCACAGCTAATGTAATAAAACCGTTCTAATAGATGACTGCAGTAATCTGGTGTAACCTCACAAATTAACAGTTGGTCTGGCTTCCACCCTTGGTCTTTGTATAAAATGTTTATTTCAAGATTAGATGATGCGTGAAGATCTCTAGAGTGAGGTGAGAGAGCAATCGCTTGCAGCTAGCTTATACAAGCAGAAAGTTTCTGTATGCCTTGAACTTCCAATTCAGCTTTGCTGGCTTAAGCCCTCAGATTGAATCAAAATCTCCACAGATTTTGCCTCGAGAAACAAACAAACAAACAAAAAACCCACAGAGATGTCCTCCTGTTTCTATGCAAGCAATATCCTCCCACATGCACGGCAAATGTTCCAACGCGGAGGACATTGTCCAAAATATTCAGAGATATTTTCTGTGGAAACGGAAGATGAGTTTTGAAATATTCTTGGCGAAGTAATTAGAAACACCATATTTTCCCCTCGTGTTGATATTTTAATACAGCAGAATGAAGTTTTCTTTAACAGCTTTCTACTGTCTCTTGTTTATTGCTTTTCCTAAGCTACCCCCAAATAATATTTCCTAGGAAATATATAGGGAATGGATAGGGAACCATACAGTCAATCCTGCACTTCCTCCCAATATCTGGGACAATGCAACTCCCAGCAGATCTTAATAGACAAATCAAGCCCCTGGGAGAAGCATTTGCTTTCTTAGCATTCTTGTGTGTTTAGCAAGACCAGCAAACTTCTGTTTTAGAATGGCAATCTATGATGTCTTTAAGGATGACGATTTTCCACTTTATAGCCACTTTGCCTTACCTCAATAGGCTGACTTTCCCCAAGGACAAAAATATGCAGCATGTTCACATCTGGGTCTTTTTTGAATATGTTGGGCTTAGCGTGATGTTGGAAGTGACGATGGTTCCACCAGTTTGCGGAAGCACCCTGGGGAGATACAAGAACAAGGAATTAATCCATGTAAAAGCACAGTTCCTCTAGTGGTAGCTGCACTAAAACAGTGCAGTTCTGATTATGCCCAAACTACTGTTTGTTTTTAAAACTGAAAATTCTCTCTGCATCTGCTTATTGTCAAAAGATTGAGAGATGCAGGGTCCTGCTTTGACACAGTCAAAGTGACTGCAGCCATTTCCACAGACCCCCATGTCCATAAGGATCTTTACCTTCAGGTGTCCAATCACAAACTTGTGGACGATGTGGTTCCAGGAAGACTTCTTAAAGACAGAGAGGTGTCCAAAGTCATGTTGCAGCCAACCTGCCTGGGCCTGAAATGATGGGAAGTAAGTTAGCTGTACGGCTGCTTGAACACAGAGTTGAGCATAAAAGAAAATAGAGACAAAAGGTAAGTTCTGAAGAGGTCAGCGCCTCCATTTCCTGGAGAAGAAAAGGCACAGGAGATAAGAAAGATGTGTGAAGCATAATGACCGGTGTGTAGGGATGGCCAGAAGGCACCATGGGAGTTGACATGTAGTGAATGTTTTTCCTAGTTGGATGGGTCTAACAAGAAAAGTGTAGCACACGTTGACCTCCTCAGTTGTGATTTGGGCAACCAATATCTCTGTGCCTACTACTTCTTACCTGGGAAGTTGCAAGGATGCAGGCAAGGATTAGAGTTGTGATCCAGCCAGTACCGAAGTATGAAACCATTAGCCAAGCCAATGCTTCCATTGCAATGATATGGGCCAAGTAAAGAGAGAAGAACAAAGGACTGGCTCTGAATAAGTTCATGTCCTCTGCTGTCTTCCTCAGGGTCCGAAAATCCTCCACCAGCTGGGACTGCAAAATAGACATGCAAGACACAGCACGCAGTTTGTAAGCAAGTCTGAATGCATCTGAGAAAGACTAGGTTCCAAAGGACTATGGTTATTTCTTGCTTTGCTTGGCTACACCAGAATTAAAGAAGGATACAGTTTTATTATAGCTTTTCATAGCACTTTCCTAAGAGTAAACACACTGGCTGGTCTGAGTCTGTGCCTTGATTCTTTGCTCCCTGAGCTGGGAGAGTAACTCAAGCCTCCTGCTGTGAACCAGGACTACCTTGCTGTGTTGGGAGTTACAACATCTGGTGACTTGTCTGAATGAGCTTTACAAGTAGCAGAGAGCCATTAGCATCATCTCTTTTGTCCTGAGTAAGACAAATATATGACCAATGGTCATGGCCAGACATAAACAGGATGGAATTAAGGGTTTTTATTGTTTGGTTTTTTTTGTTTGTTTTTTAGGAAGAACTAGTCATGTCATGCACAGTGCCTGAATAATGAATGAATGAGCTGTCTGGAAGGGATACAGAACTGGATTGAACTGTATTGAACTGGATTGGAGAGCATAGAAATGGTACCTGCTGGGTTGCTGCTCCTGAACCATAGAGACTGAAATAGGACATTTCTTCTCACCCATGGGTCCCTATTGCTCCTAACACTTGTAACATAGTTGTGGTTGTTCTCCAGAGCTTTCCTGGTACTGGTCTCAGCAGAATAAGCTGCCTGTAGTGAAGGCCCCTTTAAAATCTACCTGTAGGACGTTCTGAGAGGGAAAAATTGATGGCACTTGTCCATGATAAACACCAGCTCATTAGCAAATACTCACATTTTTATCTCTGTCCTGGCTGGGTTCCCCTGGAGCAAGCTCTCCAATAAGTAATGGCTTGAGAAACTTCTGCACCAAGCTGGGATTGATGTGGAAGGCCTGGAATGCATCCTGGAGTAGAAACAGGAGTAACTGTGAGATTCAGCAGAGCTGTTTCTTCCTGCCCATTGTTCTGTTCCTGCACATCCCCAGCACTGCCCTTCCTTGGAGTAGATCCCCCCACTGTGGGTGGGGTAAGACTGTTACTGTGAAAGAGAGGTGTGACCTCTGCTCAGTGTGGTACTTCTGTGCTGATGGAAGCTCTGTACATGGAGACATTCAAGGTCAGTCCAGATCAGGCTCTGAGCATCTGATCATTGGTGTCCCTGTTCGCTGCGGGGGAGTTGGACCAGGTGGCCTTTAAAAGCCCCTTCCAATTCAAATGATTCTATGATTCTACCACAGGAGCCTTCTGCTAGAGGCTGATGAATTTGCTTATTTAGAAGGAAGTAATCAGTGAGACCTGGGATGGTATCTGGAGAGACAGAGAAAGGTACCCCAAGAAATTTCCTAAGCAACTAAGCACCTAAATCCTGCTTAATTCCCTAGGAAGGTAGGCCGACAGGAATGTGTGCAAATCCCCACCAGGATATAAATACCCAATGAAAGTCTACTGCCTGAAGACCATTCAGGAGAGGGGGTTGACTTTTGTTTTCATAGGGTATTTGATTTGAGCAGAGTTCACCACAGAGAGCTGTAAAGATGCAGTTCCACGATAAGTTTGCCACACTAAGTCAGTTCTCTTTTTGAGATGGTCTTCAGCATGAAAACTCCAACTTCATATAGAGCTTATTTTATTTTGCTTGCTGTGCTCCTTCACTGAAACCCTATCACACCTGGGGAAAGCTTGACATCTTCCATGCCTCGTGGAAGCAAACCAATAGATCTCATGGGGGCCAGAAGGCCTATGATTTAAAAGGGAGGGTAGTTAAAGGAAGCATGGGATTCTAATTTTGTCAGTGGCTAATGATTTTGGTGATCTTAGAGATCTTTTCCAACCTTCATGATTCTATGATAAATAGGTAGGGCAGATCAGAACGTGCTCATTGTGCCTAGCTGACCTTGCTGGGAGCTGACCTCCATTCATAAACTGGCTCTGAAGTTCCAAATTCCCAGCCAACAACCTTGGTTCCAAAGTGCACCAAAGTCCATGTAAACTTTCACCTTATTCCAGGACTTTAGGTTGAGCTTCAGTGTAATTCTCTGATCACAGAAGTTCTGCTGTAGGAGGTACCAAGAGCTGCCTACCGAAGGCTTCCCTGACAGCAGCAGCATATCTGTTTTCTGAACATGTCATGACATTAGCAGGGAGAGTTCTCCTTCATATCTGAACTTAACAGCTGTGTTTTTTTCTGGGTTATACGAACGGAAAGATTGGAACAGGTCAGAAATGCAGTCATGCATCTTAGCACATAATCATAAGCTGAGCGTCTTGTGGGAAGAGTGAATTATCCCAACTGCTTTCAGTGGGGGAAAATAGTTTTATTTAATGGTGCATGAGCTGTAGATAAGCATTGAAGTACTTGGTGCAGTCAACACAAAGATGTTCTTTTGCATCCTCAAACATCATCTAAAACAGAGATGCTGCAAGGTGCTGGGACATATTCTAAGCCTTATTCATTTCTTGAAGGCAACTGTGCATGATGTGGTGCCACAACAGGCTGTCCTTGTCCCATACTGGTGTGCCATGTCAGTGTGCTGAGGTATGGCCTAAACGGAGTGACTGCTGAGCATTGCTGGCACTTGCAGGGGAAACTCACATGTAAGCTGTCCTGGGACAGGGACGGAAACAGTTTAAGAGCTGAATCTTTATCATTACTTTTTCCTCCTCCAAAGCTCTCCCAGTTGTGATATCTTGCAACTCAAACTGAAACTTTTTAGCAAAGCCCCGGCAGGCTCAAGGCCAAAGCTTTCTCACCCTGAATACAAGCGGTGTTTTGGCAGTAAAATGTTATTCGCTGTGGGGAAGCTGGAAACCAGATGCCAACTCTGTGTGAGTGCTCGGGGCAAAGCACCCTTCAGTCTGTGCCTTCACGGAGTGCTCTCTGAGCACAGAGGGATGCTACGCTGGGGAGGAGGAGCTGGAAGCAGTGTCACAACCCTGTCTTTCAGTCTGCCTTGCAAAGATGAGAGACAAATGCAAAAGCAGATGCTTTCAGATTCCTTGGGGAGGAATTGCAGTGAATTCTCAGGGATAGGAAGCCATCAGAGGAGCTCGCAGCTCGTGCAGCAGAGAGAAAGCTCCACCCCTTTTCTTCTGAGGCAGAAAGCTACTCATTTGGGGCATTTATTGGAACCGGACAAGAACCAAATGCATCTCAGTTCTTCCAGGAAAATAGCGGGGAATAACCACAGGCAGAGGGAGACGAAGGAAAGCGTTAGTAATTCTGTGGCACACAGAGCCTTCTTGCTCAGGTGTTAGAGCTGCAACAGACCAGAAGCTAATGCTACAGCTCTGCTTACCGCCCGCAGAGAGCTGGGGGCAGCTGCATTTATTCACCCCGGCCTGGAAACGTGCTCTTGGGATGCATTTCTGCACAAGGTGGCTTAGGGGGAGAACGCAGACAGCAATCTCTGAACCAATTTGTTCCCACCCCCTCCCTTATTTTTTAATTGCTGAAACAGGAGAGGTGTCTGAAACAACCCAGCCACGGAGCCCAGGAGCAGCTGTAGCAGCAGCAAACTTTTTTTTTTTCCCCTCTTCTGTAGAAACCTGTAACACAATTCTCTGGGGAATTCTCTCCTGGGAAAAAGCTGAACGGCTCCTTGTTCGGCTCACCTCTGCAACAGAGCGGCAGTGAAACAGGGGCCGGGCTTTAACCCTTCCTGTGCGTGCTCCCCGGCATGCCCAAAGCCGCGCACGGAGGAGGGGGAGACCCTCGGCCCGCGAGTCCCCAACTCCCGGCACCGCACGAACGCAGACAAAGCCCCGCAGCGGAGCTTCTCCCGACCGCTCCCCCAGATGTTGCCCAGCGGGGGAGGCGCTGCGCCCGCGGCTATCGCCCGTGTGCGGGGAGATGTGCGGGGAGAGGGCCGGCAGGGCGCGTGCCCGCGGGGATGCGCCGGAGCCCGGAGCGGCCCCGTGCCCTTACCGTGGCATCCTCGCCGGCGCAGTGGCCGATGACCCGCTGGCCGCCCGGGTGCCTGTGCGCCCACTGGGTGACATTGTACACCTTCCGCTCTATCACCAGCCACCTGTCCGTCCTCAGGTTGTGCTTCTGGATCTCCTCCCAGGTGTAGGAGCGGACCTGCGGCTTGCACTCCCCGGACTCCTCTCCTTTCTCGCCCCCCTTCCCCATGGGGCCGGCCGCCGCTTTGTCCTCTCGATACGCGAGGCCCGGGGCCGTGCGGGCGGGACGAGCTTCCCGTGCCCGATTTAGCTCAGCTGATCCCCGGCTCTCCCCCGCTTCCTCTGCTCATGTCCTCCCTTCTCTTTGTTTCTCGCTGCCCGGCCCCGGCGCTCCACCAGCTCCGTCGCTGGCTCCGAAGTGCCCCCTAGGCTACGTTTTTCCTCACTGATGTACTTTCTCCTCGCACATAGCTCCGTCTCGAGGCAAGCTCGGCCCATTCCTCCCCCCCCACCCCCCGCCTCCCCAGCGTCCCCCTCCATTCAGTACCGGTGAGGCTTCCACAGGGATCAGCAGAGCCCCTGCACCAATCCCGGCCCTCCCGCCGCCGAGCTGGGCGCTGCCATTGGCCCCGCGCGATCTTGCGAAGGGAGCAGCCGGCGGCCGGCCAGGCCGGGCCGCGAACCCGCGTCCCGACGGCACGGGGGGAGCGCCTCGCATCCCACGCCTCCTCTGCGGCAGGATTTCGGCTCCTGCTTCTAAAAGCTTTTTCTTTTTTTTCCTCCTCCTTCCTTTTTATTTTCCTTCTTCTTCTTCTTTTTTTTTTTTTTTTTTTCCCTTTCTTTTTTCTCCCCCCCCCCCCCTTTTTTTTTTTCCTTTTTTTTTTTTTTTTTTTTTTTTTCCCCTCCTTCTCCTTCTTCTTCTCTTTTAATCTTCCCCTTTCTTCTCCTTCCTCTTTTTGTTTCCTCCAGAATTACCGCCACCCTTTTTAATTTAGGAAGCACATTTCACTATTCTGGCCAAAGCACACATTATTTTTCTCTCAGCTGCCTCTGGGTCGCAGGAATGGTTGGTCCCATTCACAAGGCAATCTCCTGCTTAAGGCAACACTTTTGCTAAGCAGTGGGACAGCACCATCTTTTCTTTGCCGTGGGGCGCTTTGTAATAACAGAATCCTTGCCAGGGTGTTGCACAAGGTGTTGAGATGCAAGGGCAAAGCCAATGGAGCGGTGTTTTCACTGGTGTCTATCCCACGCCTGAGGGTACCTGTAGCTGCTTTTTGGGGCGAGGCAATCATGATCAATGGCTTTCTTGACAATAGGCATCTTCCCCTGTGACTCTTCGTTAAGAAATGAAAGGCACGTTTTTCTTTCCTTCAGTGTCTCTAGCTGATTCTAAGTGGGCTTCATACACTGATGTTATTAGGGTACAGATTGCCTCTCTTGACTTGCAGCACAGAGATGGTTCTCTGCTGTATGACCAAATGATAGGTCAGGAACAACACTGGGTTTGCAGCTCAGACCCCATTCTCTGACCTGGTCTGCAAAAGGAGGGGTAGGAGCCCCTATGGCTGACCATCAAACTTCAATTCACAATGTTTGCTTACCCTCTGGCCATCTATTGCATGTCACTACTGAAGGAGGGAACTCAGATTCAATATTAGGAAACATTTCTTTTCAGAAAGAGAGGTGAGGCAGTGGCACAGGCTGCACAGGAAGGTAGGTGGTAAAAGTTACCATCCCTGGAGATGTTCAGGAACTGTGTGGATGTGGCACTGAGGGACAGTGAGCATGGTGGGGGTTGGACTTGGTGATCTTAGACACTTTTTCCAACATTAATGATTCTGTGATCCTATGATCCTGCTATCCAGGGGGTAGGGGACGACTCCTTTGAGGAAGCAGAGCAGTGTCTGCAACCCTGGTGTTGTTGTGTACCTGGCCAGCCCCAGCCCCACTTCAGGCTCTGTTTTTTCTGCTGCCATTGGTATGAAGGAGCTGAGAACAGGGAGTGGGTATTCAAGAAGCCATTGCTCCCCTCCCTTTCTCCACCCACACACCGTACACAGGCTGTAGGAATGGCGAGCAAAGTCAAAGAACATGCAGCACTTGCATGCCAGTGAGAACCACCTGGTGCCATTCTCATGCCAAGGCATCCTAAAGGCTCCTGCTTCCGCCTGGTCTGGCTGCTGCATGAGGGCTTTGGACCATTAAACAGTCCTTCCAGCAGCGCGGGATGATGGAAGTTAGAAATGAATGTTTTCCCAAGACTTTATTTAGTTCAGTTCAAAATAGACTTCTGACAAGGACAGTAATAACAAACGTCAGCAGGGCACTGCTGGTATAACGGTGTAAAAGTGGACCCGAAGCTTGCTGCATGTCATGTGGGAAAATTTACCATTGTAACCTCTGTGCTGTGTTCTGGGAATGTCCCAGAATGGGGCATGGCGCATGGGATGGTTTGACCCCCACAGTGCTAACTAAGGCTGTGCTCTCTGTGCTCTCAGCACCATGTAGCTGAGGCTGCCGTGGCAATGCTTCAGCTGGGTATGCTCCCATCCTGGTGACCTTGCACAGGAAACACAGGCTTGAACTGTGAAAGTGAGACTGCTACAAGCTTTGTTTGCTAAAGAGTAATACAGAACCCACACCAGAGCTTGGCTGACGTTGGCCATTGGGCCACTGTGGTGAAAGAGCTGCTCTCAGCTTCGAGGATTCCATGTGTGGAAAGGAATCCTAAGGGAAATCAGGCTGACAGCCAAATCTATATTGACTAGTTCCATATGGCAGTAGTTTGCTGCTTTGATCTCTTATTCCTCAAGAGTTTCCCAGTGAGAGATCCATGTTTAGTGAATGTGAAATTTTGGACTATCTTTGTTGAGCGCTCAGGTCCGTAAACACTGAGATGTCTACAGACCTCAATTTGAAAACTGCTTTTTTAGTACATATAAATATTCTTGATTTTAATTCTTTCTTTTCTATTTGCAATTAATTGCCCTAGGATGCATTTCTTTATGCTTCACTCTGAGAAAGAATGAATGAGAAAGAAAGTAGAGGGGATCCATTACAACGCCAGATATTTTGAATGGAATTAAATTTGCAGACTCACGACATATTTTTGCTTGTCCAGTGTCCTAATTCAAGGTCTGTCCTCCATGTCCAAAAGCAGATTCAAGGTCATGATTTCTTTTGACCTTGTAGAGATAAAGACATGGATTTTTTGTGACTCACAGTATGGGCTGATGGTCATAGTCCATCAGGTCAGTGGTCAATGAAATAAATGTATCAGTGTAAATTGGTGGAAATACACTGATAAGAAAGAAGAATCAGCCGGGAAGAAGCAGAATCTGCCATTGTATCTTTTAGATATACATTGATATGAAGTCTTTAATGCAACTCCTCATTTGATGTTCTAGATATTTCACAAAGATAACTGTGTAATAATGTAACAGCAGACCATTGAAAGGTTCCTGTAAAAAACAAAACAAACAAAAAAACCACCCAGCAACAGTGCTATCATCTTTCTGTAGCACAGGCTGTAATGTTGGCAAGGCTCTCTGTGGCACTTGTTCTAGGTTTTGTTTGGCTCTTGGGCACAAAACTAGCCAGGGCGATGGGAAGAGAACAGACTCGGTGCTGTGGCCAACTAGGTGAAAGGCTGTATTTGTTGCATGGCGTGGCTTTAGCAGCACAAAGAGCTTGTGTAACGGACACAAAGGCCCCAAGTTTAATGGGAGAATTAGGAGAGTGGTGAGAAATACATCAGGAAATGGAAAAGAGAAGCAAAGAAGTGTAGAGCAGGGGAGTTTTTATAGGAGGAACACATCAAAGGGGTACGTCTGCTCCTGTGAGCACTGCAGAAATATATGAGCTACCTTGAGTAAGTGAAGGGAAGGCCATCTCGCTGAGTTGGCATGGAATGAGGAGAGAAAGGGAATTTAGGTGTCTCTACTCAGTGCTGCACATTGATTTGTTGGTGTTAAGGGAAGAAACACTTTCTGAGGAAACTGAAAAAAAAAAAAAAGAAATAGAAAATTCAATTTTGGTGTTAGTTTTCTTATCCCCGTATGGAATATAATCTAGAGATTGGCAAGATAAGACTCTGAAAGTATGCCTTCTGGAACCTACCTGGAGGATGACTTTGGTGTTGTCCCACCAGGGCTTTCCAGGCAGTGGCACGCAGCAACACCTCTCCTGGCACCACTGCATAGAAGTGTTTAAACTGGAATACCAGGCTACGGTGGTACACACAGCCTGCCTTCTACATGGAAAATAGCTGCAGGACAGCGATTCCACATTCAAAGCAATTTAATCATCTTCAGCTACTCTGCCCATCGTTCGTGTGTCAACACGAAGCTCTCAAGAAGGCTGCCTTGCCAGTAATACTGTTTCTTAATGACCGTGCCCCCAGTTTTGAGTGTCAGTGTCCCTTCTCACACCTCTGATTACCTCTGTCTTGTGATTGCCTTCTGTTCTGTCAGCAGCAAGTGTCCATACTCTCTTCTCTCGTATGTTGATGTGTTCATAGAATATCCTGAGTTGGAAGGGGCCCACGAGGATCTTTCAAAACATGTATTTACACAGCAGCTTGCCAATCAGGCTGTGCGCCAGGCCTGTAGGTGTTAAAATATGAAATGACTCTATTACAGTTAGAAAGGAGGGAGATAGTTTCATACCAAATGTCACAATCTCTAACAACCATTCATCCTGCTACATTTCACAATCGATTCCAGCAGAACCATTTTGTTGCCATGTGGGTCCTTGACATTTCTTACTGGACCAAGCATTGTTTGTGTAAATGTATTTGTTAGCTTGGGGGTTTGGTTACATCTGAGTGGGGACGGGAGATGTGGGAGCCTCAGGATGAGCCGTGGTGCCATGTGGAGCCAGGAGTTGGGCTCGATGGTCTGTGTGAGTGCCTTCCTAACTGGGACATTCTGTGATCCTATGGCTTTAGGATGTACCTTTTGGAAGTGCAAGGAATGCCCCTTGCTCTGCCACGGAAAATTCCCACTGTTTCTTAATGTCTACCTGCATTTTTATTTATTTATTTTTTTAAGGATAGAAAAAGAAATATAATTAAGTTTTCCTTTGGCGTATCCCAGCATTTTGGAGAGAGCTGGTGGCACTTTTTCTAGCTATGGGACAATGCTGAAGAGCTGACCGAATTTACAAGGCAAACAAACAAAAAGATCCACAACCTCCCGTTACAGTGCTGTCACTGGCACCAATTCCATCCTCTGCAGAGGATCTTGGATCGGCCGTGGGGGATTGTCAGGTCTGGATGCCAAGGAAGCAGGCTGTATAATAGCACTTAATTAGTACAGGAAGCAGCAGACATAGCAAATACTCATTGGGGTGAGATTAAAGAGAGAAGAGTTCCGTTCTAACACTGCCCTATCAGTGTGATCTCATTGGCAATAATTTAGAATGAAGACATTCTGCTGTAATCTGCAGCTGGAATCAGGGGGTTCTTGCATTTCCTCTTTCTTCAGATTTCTCTTTGAAAAACCAAACAATTAGCACCTTACTCGCTCGGTTACTTATCTTAATTTACATATTCCGTTGGGCACGCTTGTTTTTATCTTGGCTCTTCCGTCCTTGCTGATTTCTGCTTACTTTTTCAGGCAAGTTTGAAACCTCCTCCCAGACCACAGTCTTCCACCAGTAGACCACCACGTCTTATATTTGTTGTTTCCCTCTGCCAAGTATAACTGTCACCTCTCATTTTTCACAGTTAGCTTTTAGGGCATAGCAAACACTCCATGCAGTTAATGCGGACTGAAGAAACGCTGTTTATAAGCAAACCCAAGAATGAATTGTTAGTGTCATTAACCTGTTAGCAAGCCAAACAAAGAGGTCTGGGTACAAGGCTAACTTTCCTTGTTCAAACCATTTGGCTCTTGCAGCTCGCTCCCAGTGATGCTGCAGCTGCTGAGTGATGTTGCAAAGAGCTGGAACACAGGGAGCAGAAACTCCTGAGTTTCCAGCTCTTCTCTGCAAGGGAAATATTGCTAAATATGGTGCTTTCCTCCCGCAGAGCAGCTGCTGGAATTGCATTGGCAGCAGTCTGCATCTTGTAACTCTTCCGCATTTCGTTCTGTTCAGTGGAGCTGCTCCTGACCCTGATGTCCTCTCTCCCCCGACTCCCTGGCCCTGTTCTCAGCCTTCCTGCTGGCACACCACAACACCATGCACTCTGCACCTTGGGCTTTGCTCAGAGTGAGCCACAGCCAAGAGCTGACTCTATTAGTGGGACTTCCCCACAGGTTCATGCCCCGCCGATCCCTCTGTTATCCCAACTCATTTTCCTCTGCTTCAGGAAGGTCTGCAGCCCTTTCAGCCCCCCTCCTCCATTTCTCCACATTGCCAACTTGGTCATGAGGTCCCTGTGTGCTCCGTGATCTGTTTTTATCTAATCACCTAAAGCAATTAAATGAAGACTGACTCTGTTAGTGCAGACAGCCACAGCTGGATGTAAGATGTTGCTAAGTGTGTAACAGCAGCTGGCTTTCCTTTGCTGTCTTTATGACATAGACTTCATTCTTGCCTGTGTGAGGCCCATTGAGATGACCCACGCAGGAGGAGCTGCAGTGAATGGAGCCGGTGACTGATGTGGCTCCCATGATGCCCGAATTAGAGATGCAGATTTCGTATCAGGAAAAGCTTCAGAGGTGATCAATTAATTTGAGGTAATTTGAATGGGAAAATCAGTGCGTTGTTACCGTCACTGCCAGCTAAAAGAAGGCGGGGGGGGGGGAGGAGTGGGAAGAGGAAAAAAGGTGTTGGATCCGTGGTTGGTGCGGGCAGAGGGTCATCCCGAGCCGGGCAGCCCCGGTGCGGTGCTCGGTTCCCATGGCTACAACCGACAGGGCTGCGGTAACTGGGTCAGAGCGGGCGGTGCGGGTAGAGACAAAGGAAATTGGGGACCGGGAGAAGGGCGTGGGGCACTCATTGTGATGCGTGCGCATCCCTGCACGGGCGGATCTCGCTTTGTTTCGGCAGGATTCGGGGCACACCCCGCAAAGCCGGGCACGCCGCGGGGCTCAGCGCTCCTCACGCCCCGCGATGCTCAACGCCCGGCGGCCACACGCAGCCCCGACGGGGCGGGCGGGAGGCAACGCGGGCCAATGGGCGCGGAGCTCCGGTGAGGGGGGCGGGGCCTTCGCGGCGCGGGGAGCCAATGAGAGGCGGGCTAGCGGGGCGGCTCGCAACAGGAGGTTGCGACCGAGCGCGGCGGGGGGACTCGGGCGGGCGGCGGGGAGAGCCATGGAGGAGCGCGGGGACGAGCCGGGGCTGCGCCGCTTCACCTGGGAGGAGATCGCGCAGCGCACGGGCCGGGGCCCGGCGGCGGAGGAGCGCTGGCTGGTGATCGATAGGAAGGTGTACGACATCAGCCGTTTCCACCGGCGGCATCCGGGCGGCTCCCGCGTCATCAGCCACTACGCCGGGCAGGACGCCACGGTGAGGGGCCGCGGGGCCGGGGAGGGACGGGGCGTGAGCGCTGCTGGAATGGAACGGGACGCGGGGCGGTTCGTGGGTTCCCGCTGCTGCCGCTCAGCAGCGCGCTGTAAGAAAACGCCGTTGTTTTCTGCAAGAAAAAAAGAAGAGGGGAGGAAAAAAAAACCCGAGCAAACAAAAGAAGGAAAGAGCACCGCTTTGCGTGTGCTGAGCGCTGCGGTTGCGCTCTGGGCGCTGGCAGGGAGAGGCGGCCGTCCCTCTGCTCCGCGGTTTGCGCCCCGCTGCTGCTGCTGGCCATTGGTCTGAGCGCATGGTGCCATCCGCGCCCGGCCCGCTGCCGCCTCCCGCAGCTCCGCGCTGCCAGAGACACGAGGCGGGCCGCCCCCCCTGCAGCCCCTCGGCCGATCCACGCCCTGAGCCCGCTGCCTCCGAGCTGCAGCGGAGCTGAACCCCGCGGCTGCGCTGCCGGCGTTTGGAAGCCACCGCTGCCTCGTGTTTTGAACCCACTGGTGCTTTTTCACCCGGCTGTCTGGTTGCCGGGCCGGGCCGGACGGGGCTCTGAGCACCTGATCTAGTGTAGGGTCCCTGTTCATTGCAGGGGAGTTGGACCAGATGGCCTTTAAGGGTCCCTTCCAGCTCAAACGGTTGACGTTGCAATTAGCTGATAAAACTAACCGTTTTCCCTAATTAGGATCTTCAGCATAGTAAGCAGGAAAAAGAAAGTTATTGGGGTACTCTTCTGTGATGTGGAGGGGAGCTGGCTGGGAGCGTGAGGCACCAACCAAGAAAACAAGAATATTCCAGGGAGGTGTGGAAGTATGGGTTCTCTGGAGATTTTGGAGGTGTGGAAGTAATGAGTCTTTGGAGATTGCCTCACAACACGCTTGGAGCAATGTGGGGGCTTTGAGAGGCTGGTGTCAGTCACCAGGAGTTGCCATCGTCTGTCTGTGGTCTCTCTTGCCCCATTTTTCAGCCAGCTGATTCTGTTTTTGTGCTAATGGTTTGTCCCTGTCCCTAGTCTGGCTTTCATTTCCTGCTATGGTGTATGAGGACAGTAAGATAAAAGCGAAAGACAAAAGAAGGGAGAAGGGAATATGTGGTTGAGGTGACAGATCTTGGGGCTCAGCAGACTGTGAAAGAGAAGGGTGGATGTGGCTGTAGGTGATGTGCTTTAGTGGGCATAGCAGTGATTAGTTTATAGCTAGATTGGATGTTTGTGGTGGTCTTTTCCAACCTTAATGATTCTGTGGAATTTTAAGGTTAGATGGGAGTAAGCCTACGTTCTGTGGTGAGCTGTACTTCATAGCAGCCTGATAGAAACTAAGGCAGAAAATTCAGCTACAAATAGTTATTCACAGTGAGAAGAAAGCAGTAAAGTTCATGGCAGAAATATCAGATCCTGCCAACTCTGTTGACTGGTTTGCTTTCGATGTAATCTAGGACATCATGAAATAGCTTTCTTTTGCCACTGCCCAAAGTGTTGTTTTTTGTCGCTTTTATCATCCTGTTCCTATATCTGTATTTCAGGATCCTTTCATAGCATTTCATCTTGACAAGACATTGGTGAAAAAGTACATGAACCCACTCTTGATTGGGGAACTGGCACCGGATCAACCCAGCTTTGAACCCAGCAAGAATGTAAGTATCTCAAAAACTTTGGTATTTGGGTTGAAGCTGTGCTGTTTGCTTTTTCTTAGTAGCAGCCAGAATGCCCACCAATCACCCATAGGTGGGAATGGAGAGAGCAGATGCAGTCAACTAAGAAAGTATCCCAGAAGTCGTTGCCTACTTGAGGTTGTGATGCAGCTGCTGAAGATGTGTCTCTGAAGTGACTGACCCCCAGCATTGCCCCATTGCCACAGTAACTCCCTGAAGAGAAGACACAACACTCTTCTTGGGGTTCTTGGGGTATTTTCGGACCAGTAGGTACATATTCTTGCATCTCCCCACAGAAAAAGCTGGTAGAAGATTTCCGTGAGCTCCGTGCCACTGTTGAGAAGATGGGGCTTCTCAAACCCAACCGCACCTTTTTCCTCCTGCATCTTTGTCACATCTTGGTGCTGGATGTTGCAGCATGGCTCACCATCTGGTACTTTGGATCATCCACCGTGCCTTTCATCTTCTCTGCATTGCTTCTAGGCACTGTCCAGGTAAGCAGTTAGGCACAGAAAGTGAGCAAAGAAAAAAACCCAGAAAAGTCTCAGAAACCCCAAATAGTAGTCCTTTGAGACTGACTATGGGGGAAATTCTGGTCTTTGTAGAATTCCCAAAGTTCTGCCTCTCCCCAGGTTCCACTGAGGGCTCAGAACTGCACTACCATGACATGAGTTTTTTGGTAGAGCAGACTTCATGCTGCTTTCTGCTTCCCACAGCCCATCAAAGCTGTCCTTATTTCCTGCTTTCCTCACACAAAGTAAAGCCGTGCTGCACTTCTGAGGTCCCTTGTGCCAGAGCTCTAAGGAACTGCGCTCTGGCCAAGCCACCAAGTTCCCATGGGAACATACAGTGAGTTAGAGAAGAGGGCAGAGCAGCTCTGAAAGCCCCAGCTATTCCTGCTGCAGCCAGCTGATCCTTTTGGAATTACAAGTACTCGGAGAAGGCAGCAGCAAGTTGCTCCTAAAAGGGGACTTTGTTGCCAATTTCAGTACAGTTTTGTAAGAGAATGAGTGCTGATTGTTAGCTACGTTAATTTTTCCTTCCTTTAGTCTGGGACTAAACATCAATAGCAGAGTCTGAACTGCACTGCTATACAGTAAAAGGTGATAGTTTGATGTGGGAATGTAAGCGTAGAGGAGAAACCCCTTTGTGGAAGCAAAGGCTCCCAACTCTTCTTTTTCTTTTTTCTTTTCTCTTTCTTTTTTTTTTTTTGCCATCCAGGCCCAGGCTGGCTGGCTCCAACATGATTTTGGACATCTTTCAGTCTTTAGCGAGTCCAAATGGAACCACTGGGTGCACAAGTTTGTGATCGGCCACCTGAAGGTGAGCAGTCATTGCTGAGTGATCTATCAGAGAACAGCCCAGGAGCCTCTGCTGTTAAAAAGAACCTCTGTATAAGAAAGAAGAAATACAAGGAGCTGCTGGGGAGGGAGGATTGTGGGCAGAAGGTGCAGCTTGTTAGTGGCACTGTATTCTCATCTCTTCTTCTCTACAATGCCCTGAAAAGAGGTTGTAGTGTACTTCTCCTGGGTAACTGTGATAGAACGAGAGGGAATGGCCTTAAGTGGTGCCAGAGGAGGTTCAGGTTGGATGTTAGGAAACATTTCTTCTCAGAAAGAGTGGTGAGGCATTGGAACAGGCTGCCCAGGGATGTTGGAGTCACACCTCCAGTAACAGTTCAAGAAACACACAGACATGGCACTGAGGGACATGGTCAGTGGGCATGGTGGGGATGGGTTGGGGTTGGACTTTCCGATCTTAGTGGTCTTTTCCAACCTTAATGGTTCTATGATTCCTGCAGGGAGCACCAGCCAGCTGGTGGAACCACCTCCACTTCCAGCACCATGCAAAACCCAACTGCTTCCGAAAGGACCCTGATGTTAACATGCACCCCTTATTTTTTGCTTTGGGAAAAAAGCTCTCTGTAGAGGTGAGACCTAGTGAAGTATGTGAGGTTGCAGCATGCAGTTTTGGAAAGCTGCGGAGAGCTGGGAGACAAGAGACTGGTTGGTTTGGTGAATGGGCTGTCTCAGTATTTAATGAATGTATGGAAGAAGCACCTTGGCATTAGTGGCCATTGAATTAGTTTGGGTACATACAGGGATGTCATCGAGTTCCTTGGGGGTGTCAGCAATGTGATCTATTATTTTGATACGAGGAACACTGAAACATTAGCAGCCTCAGTGGGAGGATAATCTGTTCACCTCCATTCCTGTAGGCACAACTTAGTGTCTAGATGTTTATTTCTGTGCTTCGGAGACTAACTGCGAGTAGGTGGGAGTTTTACACACTGTCACCTTTGTCTGTAGTATCATAGGTTTCTCTTTTTAATGAAGCCCTATACTGGCGGCAAACTGTTCTCAGTACTGTGTGGTATGTTTTCTTAAGCAATCATGCCCTCTGTAGGGCAAGAGCTTCCAGTGTACTTTACTGTTTGCAATGCAAGAAACTACCCAGCCTGTTGCACATCCAAGGCAGGGAGATCAGGTTCTCTTCAGAAAACATGGCACAGCAGTCATAGACTGAAGTTCCAGGGAAAAAATGAAGCCAATGGCATTGTGGAGACTGGTATTGT